GGTTTGGCTCGGGATGAACCATCAAACAAGCATTCCTGTTGGCGACCCCCTGCGTTCAGAGGCGTAAGTGTACATACATACGTACTACTACTTTACCTTCCATGTTGGGGCTTTTTTATTTTTTTGGGCTGCACGGTCCGATTTGGGGGTTTAGCCAATTAATACAATGAGTATAACAAGATTTAATAAAGACCCAATCATAATTATATTAGGTTTCATTAAACACTTAGCCCAACTAATTTGAATGCTTCTTGTTTTTCTTATTTTACTGTCTGAAACTAAACTTTGCTAATTGAAAAATTACCCCCAGCTAGCTGCATCCGGTATCTGTACAAATTAAACTCTTTTTGCCTTCGTTTAAGGAGAACATATACATGCAAATACATCCATACACGGACATATTGATGTAATAAGCAGAGCAGTTTATGGGAATGAGACTAGTTTAAAAACTCTGCTCTTGATCTGTTGTAAGCGTTTAAGTTGTAGATCATAGTTTTCCTTATTAGTTTGCAATGCTGATAACATTTTGTCATTAATTAATTGTAACAGCACCACAAGCAGAGAACGTACTACAAGGGAATTGCAGAAATATATATTTTCTTTCATCACCATGATAGCAGGGCTCCTCCAACTGAAGCAGGGAGTATTTGACACAGACTACCTCACTTTTGTGACCCTTATTGTTGTTTTAATGGGTTACATCGGATCATTAACATCGGATCATTAGTGGGCGGTACATATATACGCCAAGCTCACCTTAATTATTCAGATTTGGCAAAATTTATGGACAAGATTAGCATTCTTTTTGGAGCTCTTGCCTTGGTTTTGGAATTTATGATCCTTGTCCCGGTTTTAGGGTTAGCCGCCCTCTGCATCTGGATAGGTTGTTTTGTGAGCTTTGAAGCTAACTACTTGTTCATGTACCTCAAAGCTTTGTATGAAAGTGCAGTTGCAGGAGTTGTTGAGGCCTTTGAAAAATTGAAAGAGTATTTGAAGAACATGAACATGATCATTGGCCGCTGCTTCACAATGAACTCAGATTACCAAACTGGGTTACCCTAACCTCATTTTTGTGAGTGGCCCAAATTGTGCTGAGAATACTTGTAAGTCTTTTTTTTTTTTTTTTTTTTCGAATACTTGTTAAGTCATACTTGTT